GTACTTGGAGCTATGTACATGACCTATCATTTAAAGGTAGGTACTGATAAGGTAAAAACTAGACACCTCCACTTCCAGCATTAGAGAAGAATGCCATCACATGTACAATAAAGATGTCTGAAAAGTTTAACTAATGCTGGATGTTTCAGAATGTTTCACCTCCTAATTCCTTAGTTAATTTACTTTAAAAAAAAAAGAAGTATTTGATAACAACAACAAAAAAAATAAAAAGAAGGTTGAGCAGAATTCACTAGAAGCCAGCTAAATTTATCCTGTCTGTTAGTCCACAAGTACCCAAATACTTTTATGACAGAAGTTTGTAGGAAAATAGATATTGGAACACAATAAAAAAAAAAATCCTTTTTGGTTTTGAAAACTAGCATGAAGATCAGCTCTTAAAGCAAGGTGAAAAAGCAGAGTCTGCCTGACTGCTAGCAGAAGAATCACTATGGTTGTTTGCCTGTGCTAAGGGTAGAAGCAATAGAGATATAAAAGCAAGAGTGGCGTAGAAAGTGTGAATGAAGATTAGCAGTCTGCTGGTCACTCTCACATTATTTGTATCAGAAATTAAGCCAGCAGGAGACAGGTTATAAAAAACCACACACATAAAAAAAGGGAATAAACACCATGTAGTTAAAGCTGTGAAACTCCTGGCAAATCTTTATTTAAATCAATACAGGGTATTGGATAGCAAAATTTTACTGTAGTACAAAAGAGAATGGAGAAATTTATGGAGCGCTTAAAATCACATTTGGCTCAGGAACACTGTAAAGTGCAAATGGTTGGAGAACAGAAAGTATGAACATCCTTGTCCTGTTCTTACACCTGTTCTTACATATCAATTTCTGCCAGAGACAGTACACTCATTTTATTTTTAAAATGCTTTGGTGTTATCAAAGTCTGGTCAAATATTTTTATCTGGCTAATTTTCTCACAGCTATTCACAAATTAATAGTGGAATGAAGTGACCTAAAATTTTTCTAGGGTAAGGATGTACTAGATATTTTCAAAAATGAGATCACACCTCTGAGGACAAATCTTTGTACTTATCTGATGCTACTGCATGCCCAAAAGCAAAGCTTTATAATAAGATGACTATAAACTTGTTTGATTTGAAAAAAAAAAAATTTAAACTTCAAGATATTTATTTAGGCTAAGTATTTTAAAGAATAACAATTTAGAATTAATTTTCATGTGACTGCTCGCTGTAAAGTTGGGAAGAACATTGACCCAGTAGTAATGGCCAAGCGCTAAACTGCACTGGCAGCTAGATATACTGCTATTAGGTTAAGTACTGAAGCAGTTTCTCCACTCATAAGGGTAGTTCAACTCAACCTGGGAGCTGGATTATCCTCTTTTTAAATTGCTTTCTACTCTACAATAAATGCTGTAGGAAGGAAAAAATTAGTTTCAAGCTAGCTGCAAATCTCAGACATGCACATTAGACATCTATGTCTAAGAAATGTATTAAAATAACTATTCTGAATCAACCTTTTCTCGACAGTTACAAAAATGTTTAATTTCCACCCCAGTGCAGATTAGCACATCCGAAATTACCCAGTAGGTCAGAATTTTATCATTTGGTGTTCTCTAACAGAGAAATTATGCACAAATTATAAGTCTGAAAAAACATACATTAAACACCAAAATTACTAATATAGTCACTGATGGGATAATGGTATTTTTTACTAGTCTAGAGAACAGGTGAGACTGTTTCTGGGCAAAAGGAATAACCTTTCATTAGGCTAACTGGTATAGTTTGAAACAATAAAGAGCATTTCAGGAACAAAGCCTGCCTTTGGACCTGAAACAGCAACAGCAGCTTTCCAAGCTAACCACAATACCCTGCATTTAGCAGCACAGGGCAAGTACTGAAGCCTGCAGTACCCAGGGTATGTTCTTCTGTAAAACCAGCAGCTTCCTCATCCCCCAGGAACATCTGCTTACATGAATAAGAGTTTAAGCACACAATATCTTCCCTAATTTTTTCAAATAAATCAATTTCTTCTATAAAAGATATAACATCTACCTACCAGGTTTGCTCTGAACAGATCTCTCATTTCTATTAGTAAATGCAAACCAAAATTTAAGCTCCCTGCTTCAGAACAGCTGTATGTGAAAGGACTAGTGTCAAAAGGCAGTTCTTCAGTACCCACTATTAATGCCCACAAGAATCTGCCGTAAGCAAGCTCGATGGAAACTCTGCTTGGATTTCTGTTTGTGGTGCAGGGCACTACACTACTTGCAAAGAGATACGCTAGTACCATGTTGTGTTATTCTCAAGAGCAGGTTAGTCACAAAATACTGTTGCAGAAGCCAACTGTTCCTGGCTGAATTTCTACCAAAATATGGTCTGGCCATATCTACTACTTTTAATGAGCAGAAAGCGGTAACAAAAATAAATACATCACAAAGTATTTAAAATGGCAATAATACGTAACCTTGGAAGATATTTATTCCCCCCCAAATTTGAATTTTTACACTACTCCAAAGATCTGCCATAAAAATAACTTCAGTAAGTGTACTTATGAAATGAACCATATCTAATAAAACCTAGTACTACAAAAAATAATTACGTTGATGTAAACATAAGGGAAGCAGAGAGGTTGCTAACACCAAGGTATGTCTCTATTCAAAACAGCATGTTTTTCAATCATCAGACAGAAGGGAAAAAAAGAAAAAACCCAAACCAAAACACAAAACAGGAAAATCCAAGTGATTTTCCTTCAGAAGAGTTAAATAGCCTTTAACTGAGTTTCAAAGTAGATCTAGGGTTTTATCCGCCTGATTAAGCACGGCTTTTAACAAGTGAAGCTGTAATTAGGCATAATGATAGTGGAACAAGCAAAGTTAGAGTCATGCATATTAATTCTAACTTCGGAAGATGCCCGCTCTTAATGGCATTCAATGTTCTTCCTATTCAGAGAGGGTTATTTCATCTTCAAGGTGCTGGAGCTGTGGTGGAAATTTTCCACAGCACCTGTACTGGCACAAGAATTTCTTGCTAGGAAGACAGCCACAAATACTGTGTTGGTTCAGACTGCCCACGCAGCACCACTTTTTAATATTTCTGGAGTATTCAGGAGCTTTCAGTCCCAGAGGCTAAGGAGCTCCCAAGAATTTACACAATCCCATGTGGTGTTATGCTAAGAGGCTGCAATGGAGAGTTACAACTTTGTTTCTGTCAAACTGCTCAGCTGCTACCAGAATGCAGTACAATTGCCATGTTTAAGGCTTCATTGAACTTTAATCATCACATTTCTCTAAAGTCTGGAAGCAAGCTACATGAGTAAGGGTTCATGGCAAATCTTTGTCAAAATCAAGATAGGAGATTGTGTAGAGAAGGTTGAGCTTGATTTTGACAATCTTGATCTGACTTTTAAATGACATTTAAATTGTCCAGGATTAGAATACACACAGCAAGCACTCCTAAGTGAGTACAAATACTGCACGTAACTTAAATCAAGTGCCCAACATTGATTTTAGGCATAGTATTTAAAAACCCTGCACAAAGACTGGATAGAGGCCTCACAAACTTGTACCAATCCTTAAAGAAAGACTCACAGGGTCTAAAGAAGAATCCAAAATTACACTGGATACTGATGTAATTAAAAAAAAATAAACCTATATAACTCCCATTCAAACAGGAAAACCCAATATAAAAACCACCTGTTAGCTAAGAAAGCATTTTTGTTACATCTTAACAAAATTATGTCAAAAGAACAGAATTATTACATCTTTTGTATGATTTTCATTCTTTTGATGCACACAAAGCTTCTTCCCTATTTTTGGTTATTTACTTTAAACTAGTAGCAGATATTATAGGTGATTCTAGGGGGAAAAACATCACTGCTGCAGATCCACAAGAGAAGACAACTGTGCTAAGACAATGTATCTGCAACTCCCTTAACCCAATCTGTAAAAAACCTTCAGAGTATTAAGAAGAGTTGTTTTTCACATACATGAGTTTGACAACCAAAATTCAGTATTTTCTAAATACTACTTATACTAAATTCCAGAGTCAGGTATAAATCAACCCATGTGGCAAATGGTCCGCAGACACCTAGACTCCAAAGGATTAAACCAGCCATAGCAAAAGAAAATCCATCTCAACAACAACAGGGCAAAGACGACACAGGCATTGACTACTGGAGTAGAACAGAAATGCTCTGCCACTGAAACACTCTTTATCACATGATTCCAATTCCTCACTTATCCCATATTGGAGTTTTAATGTTTTTTTTCCACTGCTACTTATAACCCTTCCGTGAGCTCCTCTTTTCTTCCAAATTATCTCAGAAGTGCTCAGGCCTTTCCCTATAAGCTCCCTGTAATTCCAACCCAGTTGTGTCACAGCCCACAGGCTAATCTCGGTGCCTTCTCACATTCTGCTTCCACAAACCCTTTAATTCATATCCACATTAGCATCTTGCAAATTCACTACATTTGATTGCTATCATTTCACCTGAAACAGCTTTCCTCTATCCCATATCTGTCTCAGAAAGCTTTCACCTTACCTATTCAGTTGACAAACTTTTTTCACAAATCACCCTCAAATGGATTTGCATCCACATCCTCTACTGGATTCCAAACATATTTTATACTAGAGAAGTAAAAATATTTTGAAAGGTGCTGCAAATGCTGGTTGGCCATATACATAACATCAGAGCATTATGTGGAGCGATAACCAGACGCAGTTACATAATGCAGACTGCTCCAGGGGGGTTAAGGAAAAATCTAGAAAAATATGAAATCACTGTAGATTTTTTTTTTTTAAACACACTGATCCTCCAGGACTCCAAACAAAACAGAACGTTTTTTTCCTCCACTGAAGAGTATTTTTAGTTTTACCAACCTAGTATTACTCTAGACGAGAAAAGAGCCCCCATGCCCCTCAACCTCAGGGTTTACAGAAACAGCAGTGAGCTACCTGGCATGATGTTCTCCATCATCTTTAGCAGAGAAAAGCATTTGATGTACACTGGAATAGTTTAACTCACCAATAAACGGAATAGAAGCCAAGGAGTCACCAGGTGGGCTGGAACCTGATGCTTTCCTTTCTTCTATTCTTTTTATGTGGACTTCCCTCCGAGCATCGTTAGGTAACCAACAGGTAGTGTCTGAGGCTGCCTCTTGGTCATTTACAGCAAGAATGTAGGACTGATGCCTCAAAGGCTGTGGAGTTTGGTGGCCAGAAGGTGATTTGTCCCGCATGACCACCGCATCTTTGTCATTTTCCTGAACATCTGTTTGCAGAATTTCAGGCTCATGGACATCTTCCCTTTCGAAATCATGAATCTTTTGTCTGCTGGAACCATCTACATTGTCAGAGGTAGTTGAACTCTCACTTGTTGGCTGAACAAGTTTGGCGGAAGCTGGAGACAGAGAGGAGGGTTGGATGGTTTTGCCAGTTTCTGTTTTGTGATCTGAGGCACCTTCTGCTCTGATCCTTGACTGTTGGTTTAACAGACCACTCTGATGCAAGTGATTTACTGTTCTTTGGTCTTTGGTGGCAATAGCATCCAGGCCCTGGTTAACGGGAAATGATGGTTTTGCTGCATAGGGAGCAGAGTTCTTCAAAGAGCTACTTCTAGAACTTCTGGCTGGTGTGAGAGACAGTCTCTCTTGTGAAACAGCTGCAGGTTTTGAAACTCCCCCAGGACTTTGCAAGTCTCGAGAAGGCTGTAGCATTTTTATATCTGGTGGAACTTTCTGAAAATGAGAACCAGGCAGAGAAGCTCTACTACCTGTTCTCCTGTTGTCTGAAATATAACCACTCGGAGCCATAGGAAAATTTTGACCTCGAAGGGACATATGAAATGCATGCTGCCTAGATCTCTCATAAATACCTCGCCGATCATCTTGTTCGGTAAACCCTGTCCACTTGTAAGTCTTTCTCCTATCTCCATTAGTATCTGCAATCAGATTCTCAGAATGAAAATTTTCTAGCACTTCACCCTGTTTGCTGAGATAATCCCATGACCGAGCCCTGTGATTCCTAGCATTAACTGAAGGTGAAGTTAGAGTATCTTGCGAAGCACTTCGTGGCCACTCTTTCATCAACACGGGATCTTCAAGCCTTTCCTGCGATACGCTTCTCTGCCGGATCTGAACAGACTGTGGAACCCTGTCGTGAGAGGTGCTCCTGCGCCGTACCTGCGAAGCAGTGCGATTTGGCACCACTTGATTATAATCAGTTGTATTCTGAGAAGCTGCTCTTAAACTATCTAACCTTTCCTGTATTGTTCGGGAGCCATACATGTGCATGCGCCTATTATCAATGTACTCTTTGTAAGTTTTGTAAGTCTTCCAGTCTATATGCTGATGGGACGTTGGAGAACTGTAATGATTAGTAGAGACTGAGGGCGAGTCTGTGGCTTGAGCGGGAGGTCTAGTGCTTGGGATTCCTTCTGGACACACTACATAATTTGAAGATTTACTTAGTGTTCCAGTTGGATCGACTGGCCTTGTTATTGGAGTCTGGGGAAGTACAACGGCAGTGGAGACTGAAGAAGATGGTGATGTGGTCCGTGCTTTTAGACTGGTTTGATCTTTTAAGCTGTATCTTACTTCCTCTGTCCTGTGTGATGGACCAGCATGATTATTTCTACAAGATGGCAAATCTACAGCCTTCTCAGAAGGCACAATAACAGTCCTTACAGTTTCATTGCAAACACACACAGCTGTATTTGATTTTGCAATGTCTGTTGGTGATGGAGGCACTTGTATTTCCATTCTGTAGGCCCTCTCTGGTTGTGTCAATGCCCGTACTGGTCTACTAACTTGCTGTTTCCCCAGTGAGAAGTCAGAAGATAGCTTGTCACCAGCTTGTGCCATAACAGAAGCTGTGGATGTCAGGCGTGGATAACATATTGGTGGTGGTTCAGGTATGTTGTGGGCATTACCACTGTAGGCTTCATTGCCTTTCAGGTAGGCATCTTGGGAATATGCCTGTGGAGAGAAGATTAAGTGAGCATTCAGTAGTGAGGGGGATGGAAAAGTTAACCTAGCATTTGCACGATCAAGCTTCGATAGAGGGAACACAAGTACAAAATTCACACGTTTTAGATAAAATGTTAGTTAAAGAGACAAAAATAGCATTCCATCCTCTTAGTGAGCAGAAACAGAACAAGCAAAATCATTACATACATTCCCTCCCTCAACGATTAAAAAAACGAACTGATGACCAATTCTAGGAAATACTGCAGGTAAGGCAATGAGGCAGGTTTCGCAAAATCCATGAGCATAAACCACAGTATTTTCCTCCCCCCTAATTCTGCTTTCTGTCATGATGCTTCACATTCTTTAAGCTTCACATTGGTGGAAACCAGAATCTCACAGCAATTGACAGGTTAAAATGCTGCATAATAAATTCAACTAGCACTAGAAAATTCTCTATTCACTTAGTGTATAAAAGAACTCCATTCACTTAATGTAGTACATACGAAAAGTATACACAAATATACATACACACACTCCTCTAAGAGTTCTTCTACATAAAAGCTACTGTCCCTTAACATAAAATTAATAAATTGAAGCAGCAACATCTTTGTTGTGAGCCAACACCCTATAAGTCATCTTACATTTTACAGGAGACAGCCAGTACATGGCACACAAATCTTACTGCAAAAATATTAGTTATATGTAACATTTTTAACTTCAAAGTAGAAACAGTATGAAAATTCATACATACCCACTACTGTCCATACACTATTAAAACACAAACTAAAGTCTCAAATTAATTTCCTTAGTGCATTTATCTGCACCTTTATGTTTAAGAGCCTGACTCCTGAGAAAAAATGCTTATATTACACTTGGGTTTCTGTAGCCTTTTAGAAAAGCATTTATCATTGTGGAATTAGCAGAACATTCAAAATGATAAATCAATGAGAAGCATACAGCATACTTAAACAATATCCTATCATTGAAAAACTTTAGCATTACTTTGTTCAGTTTAAACATAACGAAATAAAGAGCCAATGCAGAGCCTGCCAATGCAACAGAAGATTCAGATGATTTCTCAGGGCTTTTACACGCTTAGGCGTGGTATCACATCACAGCATTTCCTGTCGAAATCATAACATGCTCAATTCCAAAATACCCATGTACCCTGTCTTAATACCAGACAGGTTATAAAAGCCCAAGTGCAGCCATAAAATTAATACAGAGCAAAGTACAGAGGAGGGCGAGGCATTTACAATACTGCTGCAATATTACACTGAGCATTAGTGAAGTGCAAAATATTAAAGCACACTGAGAGAAAACCAACCGAATAACACAGGCACAAACCACAAATTAAGAGATTAGCATTATGAAGAAAATTCAGCTCAGACTATCTAGCTCATTTCCAACAAACTTGCTGTTTCATATTCTTGCTTCTCACAAATCATTTAAGAACAGCATGCCTTACAAAACCATCCGAGAAATGGCTACTGTACGTTTCTTACCAGTGCTGTGACATCCTTTGTAAACTGCAGCTGGCAGAAAACAGGAAAACATAGTAAAAGCTGCTTACAGATGTAAAGACAGAATTACGTTGTCATATTGATGTTGGATACAGCAAGCTAAAAATACAACTACACTGATTTCACTGGAAGGTACCAACAGAGGTAAAGGGCAGTAAAGCATGAAAAATAACTTCACCCTCCTTGTGAGCATGTCCATCTCAGGCTTTTATCTGCTCCTCACATTTATCCCCTACCCTTACAGAAAGCAAAATACATTTGTGCCATTTTGCCTTGGTGCATCCCTAACAGCTGCCCGCAGAGAGCTCGGGCTCTATGCAACGAGACTTCCCTTCCACTACAGCAACATTACTGTCTCTCATTTCCCCTGGGCTGCTACCATCCCTGCCTCCTGGTGACGAAACAACGGCTTTATTATGCATTTAAAACAGCACACCCCTTCCCCACATATATCTGAACATGACCACAAGCTGTCAGCTGACTGCAGCTGCTTTCATGCTGTACGTCTGAAATTAGAGGAATGATGCTGCAGAAACACTCTACTCATGTGATTTGTATTTTTTTTTCCTCCACTCATCATAAAAATCAAGCCAGGTTTCCTCTGGCACATTTAATGGAGGGAGGAGATATACGAAGATATGTATTTCCAAAACTTTAAATAAATGGCTATTTAAGATCTTGATAGGCTGCAAGAATTTAAAATAAAGAATTAAATAAAATTGGAAAAGAGGCTGAAGACCCAGGAAAGAGATAGAGCAAGAGACTACTGGCATGCAAGACAAGCAAAACCGATCATCCCCTCAATCAGAAAACAATTATTACTTTAAATAGCTGATAAAACAGTTCAAAACCTGGGATATGCGCACATTATGGTGATATAAAATACACTGTGATTATGTTTTTGTAAAACATGCCCATGACAGACAATGCTTCTCTGACTTTGACAACAGGAAGGCTAAATTGCAAAACTGGTGTGATCTGATCGTAGCTGAAGACTACAAATGAGTATAAAAATCAGTTCTCACCTCTTCACAAAATTTATCACAGATATTAAAACATCTTCCTTCAAAAGACAGCATTCTCACAGGGTCCAAACTAAGATCAGCTAGGCTTTCTCCCCCCAGTAAAGCGTATGTTTCCATGATTGCAGGTATATTCAGACAGACTGCCAGTTCTCAGTAAGACAGAGTTACTGAAAAAAAGGTTTTGATGAAGGGAAATATAGTTCTCCTTTCAACCTCAATTCCACCTAATTCCCAAGAAATCACTGAAACAAAGCTGAACTTTCTTCCAAGAAAGATAAAGTTCATAAATAGGGGCTGTGACATTTCCACAAGGGAGTATTAAATATATTTTTTCATAATTCTGATCAATTATTTCTCTACAGAGGAATATTGCAACTTACAAAGAAATGCATGGATCTGTTCTGAATAATGTCACGCTGAATGATGCGTTATCAGCCTTTTTACTATGGAATTTTTCTTTGCTTTAACCAGAAGGTGATGGTTACATTTCTAGAAGAGGTTTAGAGACTAAAAAATGTGAAGTACAGCAACATACTTATTAGCATCCACAAACTATTTTGATACTTAACATATTTTGCAACTATATACATAAACACAGTTTGAATATTACTCTCTTCTCCCTTTAGTTCCTCAAATGATAGAGTGTGTGGAAATACTACCTTAATCTCTAAGTGACTGCAACAGAGGATATACTCATATGAAAGCCATTAGGGTATGACTTAAAAATTTAAGCCTATACCAAAAAAAATCCAACTTAAAAAAAAAAAAATTTTTTTTTTAAATATCCAGATCCGTGATGTTCCCGATTCAGACACCAGCCAAGCCCCTCACATTTCTATAGGAGCTGGGTACTCCACAGATATTCAGAAGTTCCAACATGATAAAAAAAAAAAAAAATCAGTCTTGCTGTTTTATGAGCTCTTTCCCACCTTCTCAAAACAACAGCAGTTATGGAAAGCTTACCATACAAATACAACAATTCAGAGTGACATTAACAGCTTTGATGGATAATGGCTCTGCATCAATTACTAGAAGAAAACTACTGCACTTACAGTAAGAACTCAGCATGTTTCCAGTTACTGGGTACAATTTCTTCCCCACCTTGCAATCTGGCTTTGTTTGCACCAAGTTTGCAAACTCCTATGGCAAAGAATTAATTTCTTACTGTGAATTTGTATAACATTAGCACATTAAGGGTTTAACTGGTAAGGTAATACATTCATGCCATATGATTTGCTTAAAATTTATTTTGCATAAAGCTTTCTACAAGATATTTTATTAACCCCCAAATTCAGCTGAAGGGTTTTGCTTGCATTTTTTCCCCCACTTGATTTTATCCCACTTGATATTAGAATAGTGACAGCTGACGTACAAGGATTCCTCTTAGAAAGAATCATGGTGAAACCCCATACTTTCAAGAGCTGGAGCCAACCACGTCCAACAACCCGCAGTCCAAATCCATAAAAGCATGTAGGCATATGCTTCACTGAGGATGAGTATGCTTCACTATGTTTCACTGAAGGATGAATAATAACACTGACTTCAGCCAAACTACTTGCAAAGTTGGGGAAAAGCGTTTTGATGAATCAGACTGTAATGTGCTCAGCACCCTGCAAGACTGAGCTTGAGGCATTCTTCCTTCCTTCTCCAACCAGTCTGGCTTCAGATTATGTTTCTTTACTACTAAATCCTTTTCTTCCCCAGTCCCAATTTATTCTCACATTTAGCATAAGTACAGGAACTGCACACCTGAAAAGATTTTCAGCTGTCTTAAAAGGAAACATTTTCCAGTTAGTTTGCACCGGCAAGAATGTCAGTAATACAACTCAAGCGGTTTCATTTTACCCTGAGACACCCAGCAAACACTACAGTCAGATAACATTGTTTGGAAAAAAAAAACCCCACCAAAAAACCAAACCATGCACACCCTTTCTTCCCAATGGCAGTTGGGAAGAAATTTTAGTATGTCAAATTTAATGCCTTAAGCCCAAAATTTAATTTCCAAATACAAGCTATGCAAGAGACTTTCTTATAAATATTAGTCTAGATCAAGGTGAGGAGAGTTGATGCAAATGGTATCTTCTAACACATGCAATGTTAGATAACGAAGTTTAAGTCTCTTCTAGGTCACTACGTCTTCACACCACGCCTCTCCTTTCTATCGTACTTGCTGCCAGAGCTTTAATATTAACCTCTGCGCGCATTAGTAACTGCGTCAGTACAAAATCTGAAAGTAAACAAATGCTCCAAGACTCTGGACTAAATACAGCTACTTAGGAAAACATCTCTATTTATTAAAAGTAAGGCAAATGAAAATATTTCTGTTTGCCTATGAAACAGCCATGTTGCTCCATTAGGTCTGATGCAACTGGATGGTCTCAAGGGAAAAAAAAAAACCAACAGAAAACCAAAAACCCCAAAGTTGTTAAAGTTGACTGTAGGCAGACCTGTAGTCAGAGGC